ATGGACAGCTGATATGGAGAAAATCTAAGAAAGCATGCTTGACATAGGGAGTGCTCCGAGAGGCATGTCTAATCGCAAGAAAAGTCCCTGAATGAGCCAAAACTAATGGATTTCTCAGGCCGCTGATTTGGATAAAATTTTTGAAGGATCAGGCTTGGGTTTTGGGCCTTTCAAAGGTTGAAATAAAGGATTTTGAGCTTCCAATGACAAGAGGGAGGCTTTCATGGGATGAATCCTCCATCACCCATTCATGCTTAATTTGACTAATTCTGAAAAACCCCCCAAGCGGGTTTCAAATTGGGTCAAATTAAGGACAAATGGGTATACGTAATCGCTCATGCCCCCACCAAACCACAGCCTATGGGAGCTTCCCGAGCGTGGCTTGAGCCCACGAAACGTGCCCTATTACGTCGCGAAGCATAAAGAGTTGGCCATGGACCCTCAACGGGCCAGGTACAAATTCAGGTATCAACAACTAGTAACTACAATATAATTATCAAACATCATTTATTTTTCATTTTACTTGTTAAAAAGGAGAGAAAAAAATCAACAACATAAATACTTAGATCTTAACCTAATATTTAATATCCCTAAGTCTAAATATGAAACAAAAAATATTAGGTTTAGATCTTAACCTAATATTTAATATTTAATACTATGTTTAGATCTTACCCTAGTATAGTTCATGGCTATACTTATACATAAGGATAATTATTTACTCGATGAAAGCTAATAAATAAAATTAATAATACCTGAATATACAAACCTAACTTTATCTAACATTCATGCTTCATGCCTAATGCTCAAATCTTAAAAAATAAAAAAGTGGCAGGCGGGTCGGGTTGAATCCGCCCTTGAAACAGCAAAATCGCAAACCACCCGCACAAGTCTGTGGGCGGGCGTGTTGGCGGGTTGGTGACGTGACACAATTTTGGCGGGCAAGTGTGAAAGGCGGGACAAGTTGGCAGATTTTTTATGCTGCCTTACTATAGGTGGGTGGGTTCTAAATGATAGGGCCTTTTTTTTAATGAATAAGATTGGATGAAAAATTAAAATTTAATATTTGTGGATCCATGACTGACACTAAAAGAGTATTTTTAACATTTTTTGTTAAAATTTAATAGAGTTCAGGAAAATGGATATTGACGTAATTAGTTTCGCTCAAAGGAGTGTCTATGTTATTTTGATAAAACTAGAGGATGTTTGTGTAAATTGCCCAAAAATAAAAGCGTCACAAGCACTATTGATCCTTAAATGATTTATTGTTTCATTTTTCTCTTTCAACGTTTAGTTTTGACAAATTACTCTCAAAATTTTAATTTTTGGCAGTTTTAATTTATGATACTAAAATTGGCATACGACTTTAGAAATTTATAATCATGTTCATTTATGTAGTAACTGAAATTTGTATAAAAATAGTTGCCTTAATGCAAAACGTTCTAAAGTTTTGAACTATAGGGAAAAGAATAATTACAATGTAACTATTTTTGTAAAAATTTCAGTTATCGTATGATTGAGTCTGATTTTACTTGTAAAAGTTTAGAGATTAATTTGTTAAGATTAAAATAACACAATACTTATAGATAGGAATTGACAATAATAATAATTCGAAAACAATAATAAAAAAGGAGGGAAAAAAAGAAAGAAAAAAGAAACCATCAAAAAACCAAAAGAAAAAATGTAAAACTAAAGCCATTTTTGAATGAGGTGTTGGGCACGTTTGGAGCTCGTTCTAAAATGATTTTATTTTTTGTATGAAAATAAAAATGAAAATGTTTTCAATCTCAAACAGAAATCATTTTTAAAAATGCATTTAGTAGTTTTATCAAGAGATTATTTTCAGTATAAAAAAACTATTAATGTCTTTATTTCTCTCTCTCTGCTCGAGAGATGAGAAAAAAAAATAAAAAATAAAAAAGACTAAAAGTTATTTTTTATTTATCTCTCATTTTACACTAAATTAAAAAATCATTTTTATTTTTATATTTTATCTTTATTGCACTAAACGCCGTTTTAAAAACTTTTTTTTTTTTTTAAATGTGAAAAATAAAAATGAGACGTTAATTTTTATGAGTGGAGTGCTTATTTTTGAAAGGGTTGAGAAATGAAAATTGTCATCGAGATTGATGCATTAATGAGCACCACGACGGGCGAGGGTTGCCGTGCTCCAGGGATGGACGTGGGCTGTGCACTGTTATGCACAGGGCTTGACCTTGCATTAATGAGATCTATTTGGTGGGAGTCTTTTATGAAAAAATGATGGGAGCTTCTGATAGTCATAGGCTCATAGTTATATTTGCACTCTAAAAATTATAAATATCCCGAATAATTAATATTTTCTTTATAAAGATCTAAAAAACCTATCATTATATAAACATATTTTATATAATACTAAATTTAATCTTATTATTCCTCACTCTTATTTTATTTTGATCTATTCTATAAAAATAAAAGTTTTGGGAAACAGATTATTCTAATTAAAAAAATAACTTTGTAAAACAGACAAAACTAATTAAAAACAAACTTTTCTGAGGGAAAAAGAAAAAAAAACAAAAACTTTGCTCAGTAAATGATCTCAACTTCGATAAGCGAAAAATTGATCTCAAGATCCTCAACTTGTCATTCTACATAACCAGTAATTGTAAAGCACAAAAAATAACCAAATTAATATATGGGTATGCTCTAAATACATCACAAACCCAAGAAACCTCAACAATAAACTTAATCTGCATGCAAGACTAGATGAGAAACTAGAAAGAGTTGGGGGTATTTTTATTGGGAGTGAATTTTATGGAGGTAAACTTAGGGTTCATAAGAAATTAGAGTTGGGGGTATTTTTATTTGTACAACAATGTTTCCCTTGTAGATTCTTTACCTTGAATTATGATATATATATATATATATTTTTTTTTTTTAAGGAAAGCAGTGTAATTTTATTTTAAAAAAAACATATGTACAATGTGGGTGTATTCTCTCATAAATAAAAAATGTGGGTGTGTTCCAATATGGCTTTATTGTAGTTCTATTAAGAGATAAAATTATAATATTAAATATGATAATTTAATGAGGGGGGTATTCATGAATTTTATGTGTGTAAATATAATTTTCCTAGTCAGGCTTTTTGGTAGTTCATTCATTTGTGTCCAAAGGCCTAATTTATCAAGGGCACTTAAAAGAAATGTTTTTATAAATAGTGGGATTGTTGAAAAAACTTGCAGGATGGTGCATAACCGATGGGATTAAACAAAATAATTTGAAGATGCCACGTCACATCGACACTGAAGAGTTGGAGTCGCTTAATCGAACCGCCCAACTTTTGATGGTTTAGTTGTCCGTTTATGGGCGTTTAGTGGTCGGTACAAAAGTAAATTGGGCCTGTTCACTTCGCTGATTTGAGTTTGTAATTCGAGTTGAGATGTGATTTTATGTGAGAGCTTTTTACTGTAACAAAAAAGTTAGATGTGACTGTTTCTGAGAGCTTTTTAGTGTAGCAAAACTCAAATTCTAAACTCGAATTGACGAAATGAACGGAGCCTAAATTGGCCACTTTATTTTTGAAATTATTTATATTAAAAAAGATACTAATAATATATAGATGAGGTGAACTAAAGACTCATTTCATTTAGTCCTTACATTATCTAAAAATACAAAAAGATCAAAAATTATCTTCTTATGCCTGAGACCGGTTTTCTAATGGCACTGGAAGATTTGAGTGAGATGGGGTTTTGAGGTTCAATTCTGTATTGTATTAGGAAGGGAAAAAAAAAGTGTCTTGTTTCCTTGTAACTTGTTTGTTTACTAGGTCCAATTGACTAAAAACTAATCGGAACAGATCGAACATAACCAACTGATTGTGGTAAGCATTCAGTTGATTTACCTTTTGTTCAGTTTGGCATAGGCTTTCTCTTTTTTTTTTTTTTTTTTTTGTTGAAACCAACAAGTCAGTTTTAGTCACTAACCGATGGAAACATTGACAAAACAGATGAACAATCCTAGGGGATGAAATGCTGGTTTTTATCATTTTTTTAATCCCACTTACACCTGAATGTTTATTGTAATTTGTCATAAGCCCTTATCATTTAAGGCCTCGTTCACTTTGTGGATTCGAATTTTTAATTCGAGCTGAGATGTGACATTTTCTTATAACTTTTCACTATAGTAAAAAAAAATTAGATGTGACATTTTCTAAGAGTTTTTTACTGTATAAACTTACAACTGAAAACTCGAATCGGTGAAATGAACGAGGCCTGAGTATTACTAATCACAATAGTTATCAAAAGTTATTAACGGTGTGGCAATTACAAAAAAGAAAATTGAGACCAATATTATTAATGAAATACTTTTTTGGTAATTGTTATAATAGACAATTCCTCAATAGAAAAGAATAGAAATTTTTAATTGAGTTAAAAAAATATGTTGAAGTAACCCATAAATTACTCTTTCTACCCAAAAAATAATAATAATAAATTACGCTTAAATTAATAAATTATTGCAAAGCGTCCTCAAATTAATGTCGATGAATACTTTGATGTAAATTTCTTGCATACATCATATGAGCTGGTTTGGTTTTAAGATATAGATTAAAATTTTAGATAACGGCCAAGCGCATCATATTTTTTTTTAATGAAAGGACCAAGCACATCATGTTATATATATATATATATATATATATATATATATATGAGGGCTTTAACTTTAAATTTTGGAATCCTTCATCGATTTATTCATTTAACGTAAAAGGTAGTGTATTAAGGTAAAACATTTTGAAAGACGAGTTATTGATACATTAAAAATTTGGAAATAAAAGGGCCAAAATTCCCAAATGATTTTGCTTACTTTCAACAAATAAGTTCGTAGGAATTAGGACTTTGCCACATTGGAACATTGATAGAAAACGACATTACTCAGAAAACGACAATGGCCTGTCGTTTTGTACTTTGCCATAAACGACGCCGTATAATTGGAGCGCACGCATTGACATGACACAGCACACATCCACTACCCGCCCGTACCTCTCCCTTTCTAGGGACTGTTTGTTTCTTGGGAAAATTTTCCTCGCAACTTTCATTCGATCCGACTCTTTTCCTATTCTTCAATATTCTCCGAGCCTTTCCGTACAATCTCATTCCTCAATCTCTCTCCTTAGGTGTATGTTCTAAGTTTTCCTATTCTTTTTTTTTTTTCCCTTACTTGTGCTAAAAAAACCTAATATATACTTTGCAAAGTTTAAGCGTTGTCTGATTCGATCATGGTTTTGATGGCATATTTTGAATATCTTTCGCATGAAACTTCCATATTTCGCGAAATTTCTTGGTTTTGTACTGAAGAATTAAGCTGCCCTGCTCTGATTTTGCTTACATTCAGTCTCTGCTTGTTTGGATTGAGTGTTTTTTCTTCGGCTTCTGTATTATCTATAATATTCAGCTCCTAATGCATGTCAAATTTCAATAGTTTGTTCATGAAAATGCTTAGTTTTTGCGATTTTAGCTAAGATTGAACTAGAGTTCCATGCATTTCCGTTTATGTTTGGGCAATTTGTTTTGCATTTGCTTAAAAGAAAGGCAAAGTGCTTGTGTTGCAGATAGAGCTAGAGTAAAGTGTAGAATTTTCCTCCTTATTGATATTATTGTCATAATTGCTGTTAATTGGAATAGGTAAAAGCCCACCACATTATTCTGGAGGAGTACTTGGACATTTTCTAGTGAAATGTTGGTATTTTGTGTAAGCTTTCATGTATGTTGACCCGAGACTGTCATCTTTTTTTTTTCTTTTTTTTTTTTTTTAAGGGCAGTATGATTCAGGTCTTAGACAAACGTTTTGGCTGTTTTTGACAGCTTTAGGTTGGGAGAAAGAAAGAAAGAAAATTGAACATGGTGGGGTGTTTGGCTGCAGGGTCGTACTTGCGAGTGAGATCTTGATTTATTTTTCGCAGGAATGATGATAGTTAATGTGTGTAGTAGTAGTGACTAGTTACTTTGATTTCTTTTTTTTTTTTTTTTGAAATCTCTTTCATAGTCATAAGAGCTAAATATGAGAGTTTTTGTCTTCATGGAAGAATTTAAATGATACTTGAGTTTTTTAGAGTGCAGCACTTCGGTAATTAGTTCTGGTGTTTAGATGATGGCTTGGAACCCTAATAACCGGTTGGAAGCTCCATTACAGATGTACTGGATGAAAACTAATGATACTGAGTAGTTATTTAATTATGCGATTTTGCACATCCACTACTACTTCATTTTGCTTTAATTTACTTTGTTTTTTTTTTTTTTTTTTTTTTTTTTTTTTTTTTTTTTTAATTTTTTGCTTGAAATTTATTTTGGCGTTTCTATTGTTCCACTGTTTTTTTTTAGTATGCTTGGTTTTGGGCTTGCAGAGAGTGTTGATTGTTGCACTTAGCAATCAACTGAAGCTTTCTTCAGCTCTGTGTTTTTTTATGTCTAAAAATCATATGAAGGTTTTTTGGAGTCAAGTAGTTAATTAATCATTATTAGCGTACATTTTAACTAAACTCATTATCATAACTTCATTTACTGTTGGTTGCTTGAGGATTTTGTCATATGGTTCCTGAAGAGATAGATAGTGGTTTACTAAAAGTTATCTTATTGGAGTGATGGTAGCTAAACTTTTTCTTGGACACAGTGCTGTAGTTTGTCACACGGATTTGAACACAGTTTAAACCTTTTTGCTACAGAGTTTTTCGCACAAAAAATTGATTTTTGTTCAAACATTATGTTCAATACCCGTGAGACAAACGGCCTAAATAGGTTTGGTACATACAAACATTTGTGTGTCGTGTGTGCATGTATGTACTGCAACTGCTGCTTTAAGATAAAGGGGTGGCATTAAGTTTTAAGAATGTTAAGTAGATTGACATTTTTTGTGTGTAATTAGTAATTTTTTATTATTTTTTTTTTTTATATCCTTTCTCAAACTCTAGGCATGGTGAACTATCCAGGAATATGACAATTGGAGCTAGGAAGGCAAGGACATAAGTAATAGTTGAAATATTCTATCAGTCTTCTTTTGAACCTTAGGTAAAATAGTGTCCCTGGGACATGATATGTTTAACGTCTATCTTCTATTTTTATGTATGATATGTAGTAATTGTATCTCTTGAGAGTTCATAATGAAAAAGTACTTCTCCTTTTCGTGTTTAAAATTACAAACATCTCAACCCTTATCACACACTGATATCAACGATAGACTAGGTTCTCGTGTCCATAAGTAATGCTTGTACTTCCACATATTGTGTCTAAAACATCTTCTGTGCTATATTAAGCACTCATCATATTTCTTTTTATTTTTTTAAATAATACACAACAAAACTCATTGAAAACCAAACTGTAGTAATAAGAGAATTAGAAAGCACAAAAGGACCAAAAGAATGGTAAAACTACGGTAGATTGTGTTTTACTGTTGCTTTCATTCTTTCTACCAGAAGAATGGTAAAACTACAGTAGATTGAGTTTTATTGTTGCTTTCATTCTTTCTAGCGATGGCCATGCTACTAGCACTAGGCAGCTTCTCACTCTTTTTTTCTATTGCTTCCTTTGTGAACTAAGCTGTTAAACTAATGATGACGGAGAGAAAGAAAAAGAAGGAGAAAAAGAAAAAAAAAAAAAAAAAAAAAAAAAAAAAAAAAACTGTTAAAGTAATGTCAATAAAGCAACTCTTGATATTTGAGTGTTTGATTATCTGTTGTATTTATCTTTTCAATTTTTGGTATTTTCTTTGTAATTGATTTTCTTTCTTACCTAATCTTGTGCCTAGCCACTCGAAGTGTTTTGCTTCTACGTGGATACCCCATCACTCATAAGAGAGGCGCAACGGACAGAAAATTCTTTGTTCTTTATCTCGGGTTGTAATTGCTTTTTAGAACTTCACATTTTTCCAATTGTTATGTGCGACTGAGTACCATTTTTACTCGTTATGCCAACTATTTGCTTCTTTATGGCAAGATCACACACGAAACATCGTAACATCCTATAGCTGAAAGATTAGACCTTTCACCATTTATGGTTTGCTGGAGCCGTGTCTTTTGATTTTAAAATTCGTTTGACAAACTAATGGATACATGGTTAGCCTTATTACTCGCTTGGTTTTGTTAAAATCCAACTTATTTTAGCTTTTATTCCATTCTGTCATTCAGATATACCTATGATTATAAAATATAAACATATACCTATGAGGGGCTGGAAACTGATTTTGGCATTTCCTGCTAGCAGCTTGGATGTGAGATGGACGATAGTAGGCAACACGAAACTGGAAGACATAAAGTAGAATATTACAGAGGCGCACACTCTCCGGTAATTAGAATGCATTTCCAGAAACATTAGTTGTTATATTTCATTTTGATCTTTAGTATGCAATTCTTGATCCCTTTTAATGGAATAGAAATGAAATGTGCAGTGGAACATGATGACCCAACATCAAGTGAAGGAACCAAATGCATTAGTCATGAATAAGAAGATCATGTCCATAATTGCTGAGAGGGATGCTGCCATACGAGAAAGGAATGTAGCATTGTCTGAAAAGAATGAAGCATTAGCTGAGAGGGATGAGGCCCTCCGGCAGCGAGATCAAGCACTCGCTCAGCGGGATTCAGCCCTAATGGAAAGAGACAATGCCATTGCAGCCCTTCAGATTAGAAATAATTCCATGAACATGCCGGTGAGTGGAGTTCAGCGTGGAGTGAAGCGCATACATCACCCTTCAAATCATCTGGCTAACATGACTGAAGCTACTTATAGCTCAAAAGAAATGCAAATAACTGATGCCTTCCCTATTACAGTTATATCCTCCGAAGCTATTAAGTCAGGTCAGGCAAAGCGAACGAAGGAGAACAAGGCTATGTCATCCAAGGAGCCAAAGCCTCCACGGAAGAAAGTAGCGGAGGATTTGAACAGGCGGGCTTCTTCTGATGGTATAAAGTATAGAACAGAGTGGGATAGTCAGGATGTGGGCTTGAACCTCATCACTTTCGACGAGTCTTCCATGCCAGTGCCAGTTTGCTCGTGCACTGGAGTTCACCGGCAGTGCTACAAATGGGGGAGTGGCGGATGGCAGTCATCATGTTGCACAACCAATATGTCAATGTACCCACTTCCTCAAATACCAAATAAGCGGCACGCAAGAATGGGTGGGCGCAAGATGAGTGGTGGTGTTTTCACAAGATTGCTCAGTCGGTTAGCAGCACAAGGCCACGATCTATCAATACCACTAGATCTAAGGGAATACTGGGCCAAACATGGGACAAATCGCTATATCACAATCAAGTAGCTTGAGAAAATGACCTCGGAGTATATCGTTCAATTTGAGCGCCACAATCTTCTCTTGTGATGCCGCTTAAATTTCAACTAATTTCTTCCATTCGCAAATGTGGCTCGATCAACTGAATCAGATCAAAAGAGGAGCTTCTCGATAAAAGGGTGGAATGGTGCACCTTTGTTTGGCATAGATTACTTTATGATTAAATCCAGGATTTCTATGCCATTGAGAGTGATTAGTGTAAAGTATAACAGTTGTAGACATAGTAGTATAGTTGACTCTTTTATTCCCCATTGCAAGTTAAAGTCACATGTAATCCTTTGGACAGAATTGTCAGATTTTTCAGAAAGCAGGGGATAGATCTTCAGACTGAAGGCTGCTTTCTGCTTATAGCTAGCAGGGCTTTCAGTGGTGGGCATGGGAGGCACCGATTGTGACTTGTTTAAGACCTTTAAGGTTTAAATGGTTGCATTACCATTTGATTAATGAAGCTTAATGATTGTAGCAGTTTGTTGTTATATACTTTGGACCAAAGCTAGTGGAGTACTACTATTTTACTAAAATTATCAAAAAATTTGAATTTCATCTACTTATAACAAGATTAAAAAAATAAAAAATAAATAAAAAAAATCATCTGCCCCTCGTCTGTCCGTGTCTTTGAACTTTTCAGAGAACTTTAGATAAGTTTATTATCCGAGAAGAAACTAACTTCCTATAAAACAAAGTTAGTTCGACCTGACACTTTTTGGGATAAAAGACAAACTTCCCTTGTGTTTTATGAAATGATAGGTTCCACTATTGGTTTTAACTGAGAATTTTAAACATATGTGGTTAAAACTGTAATTTAAACTGGCATTTTGATTGGTTTAAACATCGAAACAAACTCAGCTAAATACACATCCAAAAGTCATTTTCAACTCCAGAACTCATGAACCAAACACGGCCTATATTTTCAAAAATGGTGCCTTATTCTTTGTGTTTAATAAATCACATTTTACACTTTAAAAAATTTCTAAATGGAAAATGTCCTTGTTAATTTTGTATCATAAAATCACAACCATTGTAATCAAACTGAGTCCTCCCTAAGAGAAACAAAATTGCAAAAGAATATAGATAAACAAGGACATGTAAGATTTATAGAAGTTTGTCTCAATATAAAATTATTACGTATTTTTTCAGTCGCTATTGTTAGGAAGCTTACAAGAGAAAGTCACACACTCTCACGTCGAACTTAAGGTATTGCACAGCTGATTATCAAGTTTCTATTGACGATGATCATCCATGTCAACTGACCAAAGAGCTTCAGAGCATAACAATTAGTTATTAGTGTTGGTGATAATCCAATTTTGAAACGAAATTCATCTTGGCCATTTATAGGCACAGCGAGTAAGTAGTTGTTGCAAGAGTACTAATCATACTATCATAGGGTTATTATTGACTTATGACTGAATGAGTACGTAACATGTGTTGTTATTTCTCTTCTTTTGTAGTTCTTTTGAAATACTTTTTCTACCTTTTTTCTTTTTGAAGATTTTTAGTCCGTCTGGCGTACTGGTAGATCAAATTTTTTTAACTGTTTGATTTGTGTATTTTTTGACTTTTAAGTGATTTTATGCAGATCTGACGGACAGAAAATTTAACCAATTAGTATGTTAACGTATCGGAAAAGGTTTTTTTTTTTTTTTTTTTTTTTGCCTATATGTTTTGGGAAATTTTATGATAAGAAAAGAAAGAAAAAACTCAGTAAGACACCATATTTTCATTAAATTTACTTAAGTGTCATATTATGTAACCTAACGGTTTAAAATTGTGTATTATTCGTAGGATTTTTTTTGTTCCAAAATATCTCACCTCAAAAACTTGCAAGTTTTGTTTGTTGGAAATGTAAAGTCCAAAAAAAATTTTAATGGGAGTTCAGAGTTGAACTCAACTTATTTTAAGATACCTCACTAGTCATTACTAACACTACATTTGTTATATGGATTACGGGAAAATGAGACAAATATCCTTAGAGTGCATGATATAGTCATTGCATATAGATCGATCCTCCATAAATAATTCATAATTAGAGCTAGATAAAATCCGTTAACTTCTCTAATTAAATCTTTATCCTGGAGTACTATTGATTCTCTAATGGATAGTGATTCATAAAACACATTCATGAATCAGAGCTCCTACTGGTCCAAGTACCGAATCAACCCTCAAGAGAATTATTTATCTACTTCTTTCTCAAGAAGGAATGGATTCCATCTCGTGTAATAACATTCCCGGCTACCTACTTCATCATGTCTCTAAAATACAAGGAATAGGATTCAGGATCACAGAATCCGTACCGAGTAAATCAAAAGACACAAATCCATAAATAGGAGTCTGTTAAGAACTCAGGATTAAGACCATCCTATATATGACCATCGGTAGACTCAATTAGAATTTCTATACTTAACGGAAATTATTAAAAATTCATATTGTGTCTGTGTCCTTGTTCCACATAATCTCATTATGTGAAATACACTCATTCAATATCTCATCATATTAACAGTGCGGATAACACCGTTTCATTCTAAATGGGAATGACATGTATTAATAATGTTTTAATTAAAGATTCTGAACTTTAATTAAATTCATTATGAACATTGTTTTTTGATTAGTATCCTTAAGCATTATCCTCTCGTATATAACACTTATATACAATGTTTAAGGTTACATAAATAATCACAGAATTTTCATTGATATTCATAAAATATTCACAAATATATACACATAAAATGATGAATAAACTCTTTTATTAAATAAATAATAAATATCATATTATATTTTATGCTTCTAGGACACCATTCCCAACATGAACAAGGTAAAAGTTCTTTGTGATCTACTTACCAGACATGGGAGAGAAGAGATTGAGGGTGCAAATATGTTTCTGATGTTGTTTTTAGACACAGGCCCAATGTTCAGGCCTAAGCCGACCAATCCGAGTAACCCAAGCCTACCTGAGGTCACCCAACGGGATACGGATTTATGGCTTAAGAGGATGTTGCGGCCTAAAATTTTCTCAACCCGCACTATGTGGCTCGGCCCAACTTTTTAGCCCAACCCGAGCCTACCCGGCCAAATTACACCCCTACCCGGCACGGCACGTTTGACACCTCTACGCCACAATGCTCAGCAGGGCGCGAGGGCACAGTTAGGTTACGGGGCAAGCGGACTTTGTGCAACTTTTCCAGCTTCGCAGTTTTTCGTTTCTCATCTGATTTTTGTCCCGCTCCTTGATGCTCTATCCTAATCTTATAATAGCATATTACATGAAACTAAATGAAGTTAATAGCATATTTTAAAACTATTTGAAGTAAATAGAAGTTTACATGATAAATAAATCATTTATTGCGTAAATGGTTTATTTACAACTAGTAAAAATATTTTTTTAACGTAAATTTCTTTTTACAACTAGTGAAAAGATTTTTTTTCACGTATTATTTTTTATTAGTCGTAATGATTATTTACATGGTAAATAATTTATTTACCACGTAAACTGTTATTTACATCAAATAGTTTTAAAATATGTTATTTAATTCATTAAGTTTCAAAAATCTACTATTTATTACAATTTCCATTTTTGATTTTAGGTTAGATAGGAAGGATAAGAAAATTGGTGAATTCACATTTTAAATGTATTATTCTAAGGCCCTGTTAATTTCACCTAGTTCGAACCATAGCTCAAATTTTTACTATAGTGTTTTATCTTGTTTCTCTTATAAAAATTCAAATTCAACTTTTTCTGCAATAATATTTTCTCTCACATGAATTTACTTTTTCAATCAAGTTTTCAACTCGAACCAGCAAAACAAATGGGGCCTAAGACTTTACTTTTACTCTTGATTAATGCCCTTTTAACGAATATAGTTATTTGACTAAAGTGTATTAATGAAGTGTAAAAAGTAAAAATCTAAGACTCATGCATTCCAAGAAATATTTATCTCTTTTTTTTTTTAGTAATAATTACACAATTTGACCTATTTTTTAGGGGTGAATTAAAATATGACTTAGTTGTTCAAATATCACTTATATAGCTAATAAACTGATTTTTTTTAATTACATTTCTTAGCAACCCTAAAATACCCCTTGCATTTATTTTGTCACGTTTTTTGATTTTGTAACTAATTTTCATATTTTTCTTATATTTGAATTTCTTAAAATAAATAAACACTTACACTTAATATTTATAATCTTTCAAATCTATGCACGATTTTTGAATCTTTGACATTGATTGGTGTCAGTGTTCTGATTTTACAGTTTTTTTTATTTTGCATTTTATAACGATATATCTTCGTCATTATAATGCTATGTATATGTTCTTAGAATTATAATGTCTCTATTTTAATGAAATTGGTGTAAGTTACTTGTTGTTCAACTATGAGCATATAGATTCTTATCAGTTTAGTAATATTATATATGTTGCTTGTATTTTAATGATATGTAATTGTTAATGTTATTGTTATTTTTTTTATAATTATCATGTCAGTATTTTAATTCCATTGTCGGTATTTTAATGCATAATTTAGACGGGGTTTACTCTTTAGGGTAAAGGAGAATATTTTTTTAAGAGAGATTAGTTTTTAAAAAGATTAGCACTCCCACAAAATGTGGGATATTGCACCATCTCATATATACCATTATCCTTAAACAATAAACATTAAAATAACTTGATATTATTATTAGGATAAAAATGTAACTATATATGCACATTAAGCCATATGTGGAATATTCACAAACTTCAGCCGTATTTGAATTCTACAAACTCATTTATGCCATCTGTCTAATAAACCCTATTCTTAAGAATATATTCTCTTATGGGCCCAGTGGGCTCTCATTCGCAATTAGCGGGCTCCTCTTTTTTTACGTGGGCCCCCCTTCGTTCTTCCTATTGACAAGTACCTCAACGTAGTAGATAAGTTTATCTTTTGCTTGAGGCACTATAACTCGACGGGTGTCCCAGAAGCGATCAGCTGTAGCATCAACACGTGTTCTTTGAGGGCTGCTCACTGGTTCAAGTCAAACAAGAGGATGTCATCGATGTTGCTCAAAAAAAAAAAAAAAAAAAAAAAAGAGGATGTCATCGATGGTTATATTCATCCACGTGTCAAATATTGCTCAATTAAGGGGATGTGAACCGGGAGAAACAACCAATTAATTGAAAAAAGATAATTTATATGGTGTTCCCATTTTAAAAAAAATATCAATTTTCATATTTATTAACCGTTAAATTTATATTATTTTTTAATTTAATTTAATTTGTGATTAAATTTAATATACATTTAACAGATAATAAATAAAAAATATTAATATTCTTAAAAATTCCTTGAAAAAAAGGGAAATAGGTATTTTATTTTTTTATTTATTTTTCAACTATTAAATTGTATTAAAAGTTATCTGCTCTACGTACTTTTATACTCTAATATAATTTTAATAGATTTAACAATTAAAAATTGATCATACGATAGACCGAACGGTCT